AAAGCACTAAGAAATAATTTGAGAACTGATGTGTACAGACTAGGCAAAATTAATTAACAACAGGATAAATATCGGAATGCTGCAGAATGAGTGAAAATGTAGAAAAGAAGGAAACGACAGAATACGAGTCAACTATAATTGAAATGTTGCAAAAGTGAGATGCAGACGGTATAAAAATACAAACCGAACGCTATAAAAGAGTATGAAGTAGAAGGTTCAATCAATCCAGTTTACAAAAATCTAGATAGAACAACATCTTTAAAATGTATACAATTAATTAATAATAGAAAGTCAATTAATCAATTAATAGAAAGTTATGCGAAATACTTGCAAACCAGCAAGAATGATTGCGGAAAGGAAAGAAAAGGTCAAGACTTTTTGTTTATATTAAAATTAAGAAGAATTTCGAATTTCGAAAAAGAAAGTCGAAAAACCACATCGAAATCATAGATATAAAAAATGTCCAAGAACTTTAGTATGGGGAAGTGCAACAGAGAAAATTAAAAGTGTAAACTAAAGCAAGAACATAGAATACAATGAACACTTATATTTAACAAATAATAATAAACATTTAAGATGTGAGTGATTGCATTCAGAATCAATTGTAGACAATTAGAAGGAAAAATACAGAAAAATAGTACAAAGGATGGTTTATCTGAATGCGAATTTGCAGATGATTTAATACTAAAGTAGGCATTTAATGCAGGAAAAGTATAAATGTGGAAGCAGTTTGCAAACGAATTAACAAAATCACCCGCACCCATTAAGGAACAAACGGTAATAAAATTTTAATCGTGTTAACTCATATTCACAGTAAATCAAAATTTGAAATACACCCTTTGTTTTACGATAACTCCTGATCGAATTCTGAAATGGATAACTAAAATGTTCCTTTCGCATATTCAAAAAATAGTAAACTGGTCATCTGAAAAACTGCTAGCAAATAGCCAAAAGGAATAGCAAAGGTTTACAAAAAAGCTAAAGTCAAACTATGCACAAGTAACATTATTTAAAAGGAAGCCAACCAAAGTAAAATAATACCTTTTTAGAAACATTAGTCATTGTCAATTCCAGCATTCCAGCTTCCGGTCGAGAATAAGTTCACTCATAATCACACTTACACAAAAACCATTTGCTGAAATGCTGGTTAGAACGACAAATTACCTCGACAAAAGAGACTAAATTGGACATTTTAAAATAGACCACAATTAAAAAGGATTTAATTGTCGCTGCTCTTCATATTCATACTATTCAGTAATTGCTTCCTGTAATGAATTATTCAAAAAATCTCGAATGACTTGAATATCAATATTCCAATTACCGTAGGTGGATAATGAGAAAATTTCGGTTATTATCGAGATGCCAATGATGCCATAAGTGTGTAAATCATCGCTCTTCTATTACAGCTCCCCTACGTGACTTATTAGTGGAAATATGAGTTAAGAGACAAAAACGCAACGAGGTCGACTTCAATTTAAGCAAACCAATTTCGTTTTCATTGATCTGCGGCAATATTTTTCGAAATTGGAGTGGTAATAAAAATCATAAATGGATGTTTGCCATGGTGCGAAACATTATAAATTTGAAACTTAATCTTCAGAACATCTGTTGGGAGTTCAAGATGCATTACTGTAATTGTACCTCTATGCGTCGTTTCGTATTCATATTACTCGTAACTGGCAAATATCCGTATGTAATGATAGTTAATTCATTTTAAAATGTCGGTTGCACAATGGAAATGTGTGTTTTAGTATTATTTCTATATAATTCATTGTATAAGCTACTAAAAAATTGAAATTTGTTTCCGACGAAAATTACATGCGTGAAAGAAATTGTTGACAACCATGCGGAAGGTCCAGAAATAAAACGAAAATTACCCTACAGTGAAAAATATCGCGCATAAAGTGAACGGCACGAAAATTCATGGTACACACAGGATTTAATTAGTAGCGAGTGTACTACATCTATATTATTAAAAGCCAATTTGGAAATTTACAAAAAGCTGCTCAAGCTAGTAATTACAAAAACGATATCAAAGATTTAAATGTGTGATACAAACAAATAGGAAGCCATATAGTATATGCGACATACAAAAGCGAAATAACGGAATATTAAAAATCTTTTTTTTTATCTTACGAATATGAGTGATGAAAGAATTATAACGTCAAAGAATTAAATGGAATTAGCATGAAGGATATTTTATTCCAAATCAAATAAGAGTAAACGTATGAAGACTTCGATTGTGCCCTATTTAACACACATTTTGATCTTTCCCCGATCATTGATAATAATAATAGTAAGCAT